CAGAGGAATAAGAATAATGATACAATGTTCTTTTTCTTCTGCCGTCCTGGAAAAGTTTAGCAAGAGCTTTACAGCACTTGCAACACAATGAGGTCATAGTAGTAGTAGTATAGGGCTTTACAGCACTTGCAACACAATGAGGTCATAGTAGTAGTAGTATAGGGTTTTACGGCGCTCGCAACACAATGAGGTCATATAAGTGCCTAAGATTAAAGATGTTACACAATAGTAACACACACAAAAAAAAGGAGGAGAGATTAAGACGATAGATGTTCAATAGGAAAGAAGGATCAAATCACACCAGAACACCCACCAACCACCCACCTTCTCTGAAAAGACCTCAGCCATTCGCTAAAGAGAGCAGAAAAACATTTAGCATTGTAGAAAAGGTTGGAGGAGCAGCTGCAGATGTAGTATAAAGACAAGAATAGGCAAGGCAAGAGGTGTTTTCACACAACTAGAAATGTATGGAAGTTAAGAATTATAGGAATAAAAACCAAGACAAGAATTTTCAACATCAGGTTTCTTTTACTGGGAGTTCATTCTTTAGATGAAGAATATCAAAATAAGTCTTTATTTAATGACCAATTTAGTGACGTTTTTTTGTCATTTTTAGATTTCGTACCAAAACAGGGCCCCGGCATAGTGGGTTTACCCCCTCTGAGACAAAGAATTAAATAGGAAAAAAAGGTGCCGGGCACTCGACGTCACCCACATGGAGGTCTGTACTCTTGGAGATTGACTTTACATTCAGAGGCCTTGACTGGAGGGCCATTGAAACCATGCCATATCATAGCAAAGCACACACACACAGAGGCCACTCACCACTCCAATGGAGAAATAATTGTTGATGATGTTGTATGGAATAGGGTCCCCTTCCTGTTCATCTTCGTCCTCTGGTTTGCTAAACTCTATCTTCCATCTGAAAAAGGAAAGAATTCCTGTGTTACTCCACCCACATACATTCACAATTGCTACAACAACCAAAGTGCAGGCACAAATACGCATACAGTCTAAATCGTCAAAGGTGGCCATCCGTTATTGAGGATAAAAGCGGTTGTCTTAGACAAATAGACGTCTTGAACAATGTCATTCTGACATTTAAAAAAGTGCAGGGGTCACAGGTGATAGTCTTGAACAGGTGGCAGCTAGAGCAGGTTTGACTGAAGTTGTATACACGTAAAAACTCTGATGCAAACACTTACACATCCTGGTGCCCAACATACAACATAGTTTTTATACACACTCTGCTACACAATGACATACACTAAAAAATGCTAGGGGTAAAAAAAAAAAAAGACAGAGGTCACCTTTTCTGATTGTTATTATTATTGTTGTTGTTGTTGTTGTGAGTTATTGTTTTTTTGTTTTGGTTGTTACAGAGGTTGTTGTTGCTCATTTATTGCTGTTGATTTGTTGCTGTTGTGGTGCTGAGCTATGTGACATGAAGACAAATAAACCCCATCTCTCATAAGCCAGAAGGAGCAAAGACAGTTTATGTTTTACACCCTCACTGACACAAATCAGATCATTCAAGAGTGAGCTGCTTTGACTTGCATTAAGTGAGTGCATATGCAAGCACATGTGCAAGATAAGATACGATACATCTCTATTGTCCAAATCCTGGCACATCGGTTTGGTGTTTCACCACGCACGCACACACACGCACGCACATGTGCACATCCATATACACACACACTCTCATCTCTCACACATCGTCTCTCCCACAAACATCTTGAGCATATGACAATAATAATACAAAAGTATACTTGCACTCGCAAAAAGGCCCACACTCACATTCATGTGGTATGTATGTGTGTCTGCAAGCATTAGTGTGTAATGCGGGCATGGTTGAGCCCATGCATGCAAGTTTGCGTGCGTGTAGAGTGTCAGTGTATATCACGTGCGAATGTACATTACAGAGCCTGCGTGTGTGCATCTGTATCTGCGCGAGTGTCCAACCCACCTGTCCAACATGACCACGTTGGAGTTTTCCACTTTCTTGAGCACTTTGAGCAGGTTCTCCCCCTCGTAGCCCCCGCCCCAGCACAGACAGCGGGCCAGGTCGTTGCCCGTACCCAGCGGGAGAACAGACACGGGCGGACGTTGAGCAAAGTTCACCTTGTCTGTTAGGGGGAAGGGGGACATAAAAACAAAACCACAGTGAAACTCATACTCATGGATCATTCGTCAATTTTTTGTCATGAAACCCTACCAAAAAATACAGGAAAACACAACAATTTATGTTTGACTTAACACATGTCAGTTTCAAGGAACATTTCAGACAGTAAGACTATCTGAAGCCAAATAACAACAGCACTCACACATGATGTCAAGTAACCATCCCACTGAGCCATCTCCCCCACACACCAGCACTCGGGCGTTAGGCACGTCTTTGAAAAACTGCAACCTGCAACATAAAGAACAGAGAATTATAGAAGGTAATTTATTATAAGATATCACAAATATGGTATGGTAGATTTGATTTAATAGTAAATATTTTCTCCTCACTGACAAAATTTCAGTCATTTAGAAGGTGGACTGCTTTGGCCTTGCCTACCAAAACCAACCTGAGTGAGCAGGATAGACAGAAAGTGATAGTTGATAAAATAAAATCCTCAAATAGGAATCGAACTCATACTGGCTAATTAGAGTAAGACTCCACCCTACCCCATTATGAAATATGACGTATGATGATGTTGTACATTGAGCAGTCCATGTCTTTGCTTAACTAAGGTGAAAAATCCAAACAACTATCACAGCACAGACAATCATGCAGACTTGAGAAACATTAGGAAAAAGTTCAAACGTATCATAGAAATCTCTATTATCAATGTAAAACATAAATTTGTCTGGTGAGAGGAAAGAGAAGCTCATTGACAACAATAATAGTCATTTAGAGCAAAAAAGAGAAAAACAGATAAAATAAAGGGCAATGGGAGAGTAAAGGAGTAGAACCTAGACGGTCATATAATCAGGCCACCTGCGCGCTACTGACCTAGATTCCTTGTGGGCTGACACACCCGTGTAGTAAGCCCACAACCTTGTAGATCATTAGTAGTGATAAGCCTACGCAGGGTGCGGCGGTCAGTTTGAATTGTTGTTTTCTCATGCTTTGACACTGGATTATTTCTGCCTAATGCAGTTTGCTTTTCAAGTCATCTGGATTATGTGAATATTTTCTACATCATTGTGTGTGTTGAGGAACAGAAGTGGTGACTAATTAATTAATTAATTAAGACTGACCAACAGTCTTGAGATCGCAAATTTGAAGTGCTGTTTGGCTGCACTGTAGGCCTACTGTTCATTTTCAGATTCTTCATCGCCATCGTACTCAGTGAATGCCTGGATTCTTTTAGTTGAGGCCTAATGCAGGTTTTTTTTTCAAATCATCTGGATTGTGTGAATATCAAATATCTCTTCCATCAGTGTACGTGTTTAGATTAAACCTACAGTGAAGTTTTGACCGTGCAAGTTTAATTCATATCTGTCTAAATCCATTCTAAAATCCATGTCTACACAGTGGAGCCCCCCCCCCATCCTGATCCGCACACTCTTCACTGACTTAGAGCCTCTCTATGCAAACAACCACTAAAAACGAACTCTCCATCCTATCCCTAGATCTGCTTTTAGATTTAGATTAGTTTGTAACACAAACAAAAGACTAAAAGGACCATGTAGATATAAATCTATCTAGACTCTGAGCGTCTAGGGGCCCACCCTTGTTAGGTAGGGAAAAGTATACGGATCATAATTATGGGGGAGCTCCTTTGTGTTTTTCCCGACCTGCTTTGTATATTAATATCTGCTGTTCTTTCACAGTGCTTACATGCTTCTCTTCTAGGCCTATTTCTTGCTTTCATCATGTGTGGTTATGACTCTGTTGGACTGTGACTGACACCTTCAAAATAAACTGAAGGAATAAGAACAACAATGGGAAGAAAATGCTCAGTTGGTGGATGCAAAACTGGCTATGACAGTCAGAAAGGTGCAGAAAAAGTGACCTTGTATGGATTTCCTTCGGATGAAACAGAATGTCGGGCATGGACTGCTAGCTTACCAAACATTTTATCCTATGAAAAGATGTCAAAACATATCAGTGTGTGCCCTCCATTTCCGTAAAACTCAACTCAAGTCAACTTTCTGTCTTTCCATCGCTTTTGTCTGTCTACAATAATTTTTTACATGTCCGTTAGTTTGAACACAAACACAGAGAAGCTAAACCATTGAGAGAGAGGGGGGGAGAGAGAGAGAGAGAGAGAGGGAGAGAGAGAGAGAGGAGGGAGAGATTGAGAGGGAGAGAGAGAGAGAGAGAGAGAGAGAAAGAGAGAGAGAGAGAGAGAGAGAGGGGGGAGAAAGAGACCGCCTAGCAGTGGCCGTTGTAATCATTATTATTATTACGAAGGTCACTGCTTGCTGTGGGCCGAAGCCTGAGCGGCCGGTGTGTCAGCCCACAAGCAAGGTGTGTAGTTCTTGGGCTGCGCTGCCTGATTTATGATCGCCTAGAGTAGAACCTACCAGAGACACCCTCCAATCACCAGCATTATAGCTTAACGCCTATGTAACCAATGATAAGAACATTTGAATTTGAAGTGAAAGAAATGTTTTAATAAGTAATCCACTTCCTCCTCACATTGGCAAAACAGGGGTGAATGTGTTCTTTGTTCAATAGAAGTAAACGTAATGTACTCCTGCTGATGGATACACTTTTTCATCAATGAAAGTACTTGCCAGTCATAATCCTGATCTATAACACAGCCTCGGGAATTTTGGTCACTAAGGAGTTAATCCACTTCAGCCGGCTTTGGTACGCAAATGCAGGGGGTATTAAAATAAAAAACCAAGCTCTCCTCCCTGTTTCCGGGTTTTCTTAAAGAAAGAAAACGTCTCCTATGATACTAAAAAACGAATTACCTTTGTTCTTAGCCAAACCCCCACCAAAGTTCTTAAATATTAAGACAAACCATGGCAAAATACCATAACAAGCAACGTGGCAAAAAGAATAAGAAAAATTCAACAACAAAAAAACAACAAACCCAGCTGTACTGTGCAATGGCCATTTTTGAGTTTGTAAAGATGTATCAATGTTTTCAGTTTTCTTTTGGGCACAAGGGACGAAGAATACTAAGGCAGACATAAATCTATACATACAAGGCGTTTTGACTGATTGTAGTGCCTTGAAAGCCTTTAAGAAGAGCAAGATCTAAATCACAAATTTACTAGAAGTTGCTACTGGCGACTTGACTGCTGAAGAGCCGCAGTATGATGAGGAATTAAATTAGCTTCTTTAACTTTCTATTTCTCTTCACTGTGTTACTTAAAAAAATAATCAAAGTAAAATCTAAGCAAAATTCCAAATTGATGGCTTAATTAGTTTGGGTAGTCTGTAAAGTTAAGACCGATTTCTTATCCCAGTGCACAGAAAGCCAGGTGGGATCAAGCACAATTTCGACGGCCACCAAGGTTGAACAGCCTTTTTGAACCATACCGGCTATTCCCCCATGTTGCCAAACCAGCTTTCCCGATGTGGCGCCATACTGGCTTTTACTGGCCTAACACACCGGTTTTTAGTGCAGGCTTAGAAATAAAAGCATTCCGTTCTAAACTTAAATGCTGAAGTCCTAGGTTTTTGTAAGTGAAATTTCATTGAAATTCTGCTCTCAGATCAAAAGCAAAAACAATTTCTTTCCTACACCCCAGGAACCTTTGAAAAACACTGAAATAATTCGGTTCTGGGAAATTATTATCTGGCCGCCACTTCTGTTCTGCTGTGCTGACCTGCTGACCTGTTTATGGAGCTAAGAGAGTTAAAGAAGTAGGACCTTCATGACACCCTATGGCCTCCTGCATGGTAGTTTATAAATTCAGGATGATAAGTTGATAAGTGAGGGCCTCTGCTAAAATGTTGCAGACACCTACCAACCTCCAACGTTATAGCTTAAGATCTGGATGATAAGTTGATAAGAGAGGGTCTATACCTCCCACATTGCGGTTTACCATCAGGATGAAAAAATGATATGGGTTTAATGCCCCTATCAACACTATTTGATTATTTAAGGGGAGGGACCTCCGAGTTTAACTTCCATCTCAGAAAGGACGGAGCCAAGTGGGAAATTCGTGTAAAGTGCCTTTCCCAAGGACACAACATTGCACCGAGCCGAGGCTCCAACCCCTGAACACAATTTCACGATTGCAAGTCAGGTAGCCTAACCACTACGCTACCAACACCACCATCAGGATGATATGTGACGGCCTCCCTAAAGATGTTGGGAAGACGTACTCACCCGATGAGTGGCCCCTCCTTGACCATGTTGTACACCTGACGTGGATTCAACAGGTACTGGAACTTCCGCAATAACCTGAGAAAAAGAGTAGGGGGTGGGGGCAAGGAGAAGACGGAGATGGGAATAGAAGAGAGAAGAGGGATAAGGGAGGTGAGGAGAGGAGAGGGAGGGGAGAGTAGAGAAGAGGGAGATAGGGAGATGAGAGGGGAAGATGTTAGTCAATAGTAATAATAATTTGTTTTTTTTTACAGAAAAGAAAAAATCATTATGAGGGAGTGACAATTCTTGCATCAAAGAGCAGGAGCAAAAGATTATTCTTAAAGAACCTGTTTTTGTGAAATGAAGCAGATACATGCATTAGCATTGGAAGTGACATCTTTTTTATTTGAACTCTGATAATAGAGGATATTTTTGTTCTTTTAAAGGAATCAATGTACAGTGTGTGCGAAGTATGGTAAAATTCCTTCAAGAGAGAATGTTTCTTTTTGAATCTTTTCGTATAATCTGCAAAACTAAGTGAAAAAGTGAATTTATTTGCCTTTTTAGTCTTTCGAAGTTTACGTTTTACGAGAGCATGCGGCCACCCGCAAGCCTAGATCTGTCTTTATCTAATCGCTTGAAAGCCTTGCAGTAAAATAATACTAGCAAATTAGTTTTAGTTTTAGTAAGTGTTTTACGGCACTTGCAACACAATAAGGTCGTATAAGTGCCGAAGATTAGAGGTGTTACAAGAGAGTAACAAACACAAAAAAGGAGGAGAGATAAGGACGATAGATGTTTATAGGAAAGAAGAAGCAAACCACACCTGAGCACCTGCCAACCACACACTAGTAACTTTTTTGCAAAATAAGCGAGCCTTTTTTTCCCGAATACGAATCTGCGCAGCGCTAGTGGCTAAAACTCCGCACTTAAGAATTAGAGCCAGGTCATTAGCACGACGTACATGTAACGTTATATAGGCAACCAGGAGCGGCAAATTTTGCCTGACAGACAGAAACAACACATGGACACCCAAAAAGAAAATAAGTCCTCCCAGAGGCGTCATCTAATCATCCACATAGACGTAAACAAAAGAGGGACAGGAAAGAAATAGGGCCTACCGGTAGCACCCTCCAGCCACCTGTGAGCTTACCTTGCACCTTGCTTGCCCCCACTCTTGGGGTTGATGAATATCAATAAGGGATGAGTACCTTCTAAAGGAGTGATCTGAAATGAGCTTTGGCCCTGAGGGATGCAGGGAAGGGAAAAAACAAAAAAAACAACGACCTTCATTAAGTGATACACACAAATCACAGAGGGAAAGCAGAGAAGGAAATAGTTTTCACAAACAGCCAAGAAGAGTTTGTTCAAAATAATTCAGATAAAAAGAAAAAGCAAAGCAAAAACTGATCACTTACGAGGGGGGTTCAAGAAGTCTTTGGTCTAAGTATTTTAGTATGAAGGAACAAAGATAGAGCTTTGGAACTTGGCACACAAACTTTTATTTCTCTATATAGTCTGGTGAATAAGCTGGGTGTGGCAGGATTTCAAAGCTGCACTGTTCTGCTGTCTGGACTACTTGTTGTGCTCTGTGCACAGGGGCATTGTCATGCAGTAGAAGGACCCATTACAGAGTTTTCCCCGTCTTTTTCTCACTAATTCAGACCACAATTTTATCAGCAAATTCAAATAGTAGTCTCCTGTGACTGTTTTTCCATTTTCCAGGTAATCAGTCACGATGATACCTTCACAATCCCAGAAACATGAAAGCATGACCTTTCCTCTTGACGGTGTTACCTTTGCCTTCTTTGGTGAAGAAGAAGAAGGGGTTTTCAATTGCATGGAGGACATTTTGGATTCTGGATCAAAATGATAAATCCATGTTTCATCCAGTCACCCTGTTTTTAAAGAAATTTGTGTCATTGGACCCAATTCGAATAAAAGTTTTGCAGGACTCAACCCTCTGCTTCTTTTGCTCACTTGTCAAAAGGCGGGGTACCCACCGCGCAGACACCTTATTCATGTTAAGATGATTATGGAGCATCGTTCCAATTGACCCTACACTGATTCTCATTTCACTTGAGAGCTGTTTAACATTTATACGTTGGTCTTGTAGAACCAGTTTCTTCACTATGGATACATTCTCTTCAGTAACCACAAAGAATGAGTGCCCTTCACAATCTTCATCCATCCCCAACATGAACCTAGATTTGACTTTTCTTTCCCAGTATGACACAGTACTATAACGAGGACATTTGTCACCATAAACATTGACCATTTCCTGAAAAATGTCTGAAGGGGATTTTCCTTGGAAGTGTAAAAACTTGATAACTGAACGATATTCAACAGGCTCCATGGCACAGCTTCAGCCAAGAAAAACAAACGTTTCAGAGCAAGGATTCATTGAACACGATGACTAGTGCCTTATTATTGTCAAATTTTCCCGAAAATTTGCATAGTGGCTTCCAAACAAATTGTCTAAAGGCTGGCAAAAATTTCATTACTCTACCATGATTCCTTCATACCTAGACCCAAGACTTATTGAACTCCCCTCATAATTACATTTTGAAAAAAATTGTACCATTTCTGTTTGTGTCTCTCAAATCAAATTAAATACTAATGACACTTTAAATTTGAGACTTTTCTCCAATAACAACGATTATGGTGATGATAGTTACTACAAAGTTCATAGGATAAAAAAGAAGAGGAGGAGGAAGAGAAGAAGAGGAATATGACATACATAAAAAAAAAACCCAACCACCATCACCACAGAAAGAGTAGACAAAAGCAAACCACAGAATATGGTTAGAGAGCAGGAAAGGAGATGAAAGGAGAACATTTTAGACAAGAAAATTGACGGTCACTATCAGGTTTCGTACCCAGGACCTTTTGAATGAGAAGCAAACACCCATAACCTCTAGTTCACGAGAGCCCCCTCAGGACAGTTTATGAAACATCCAACAGATCTCTCTCTCTCTCTCTCTCTTTCTTTCTTTCTCTCACCGGACTGACGGGCCCATCAAATTGAGCATTCTCCGACTGAGGCGTGGTGGACTTGCTGTCTTCGCCCTTGTCCTGGTCCTTCTCCTTCTCCAGGGTGTTCTTGCCGCTGCCACCACCGCTGCTTCCACCGCAACCGCCTCCTCGGCCACGATCCTGGGGGTAGGTCAGTACATGTCACATACATCGCATCAACAACATGAATGTAGACTCCGGTACAAGGAAAACAGCAGATAGCCCAAACTCACCAGCTGACAGAGACAAAAATTTTTCTTGTTGTTGTTGTAAGAGTTTTACGGCAATTGCAGCAAAATAAGGTCATATAAGTGCAGAAAAACATAGATGTTACAAGACAGTAACAAACACACAAAAAAAGGAGGAGACATAAGGACGATAGATGTTTAACAGGAAAAAAGGAACAAAACACACCAGAGCACCCGCCAACCACTCAATAGACAAGAATTACATTTTTAAAAATTTGCTTGAGTAAAGACAAGCATATCGACACAATGGGGATAGTTTATTGTTGGAAAAAAGTTATATATATATATATACAATGGATCAATAGTTTAAGAACAGATGAGCATGTTGACAAAAGAATGGTTAATTTGTCCAGAGAAAAAAATAAGCTAGACAGACAAAAACAACAGAGAGACAGAAAATAAGCAGGACCCAAGAGTGATGCCCTCCAACCACACTGAATCACAAATTGTTGTTGCTTTTGTTGTTTTTCTTATTACGTTGCAGTTAAACATTAAAACAGTCCGTCTTCGTAAGTTTTACAGCACTTGCAACACAATAAGGTCATATAAGTGCTGAAAAATAGATGTGTTACAAGAGAGTAACAAACACAAAAAAGGAGGAGAGATAAGGACGATAGATGTTTGATAGGAAAGAAGGAGCAAACCACACCAGAGCATCCGTCAATAACCCACTAAAACAGTCCTAAGCAACACAATGATGGTTGTTCCCGGACAGGAAGACAAACACATACTGGCTCAACAACTGCTGATCTTGTTGTTGTGTACCACAGTACCAAACATGACAATGAAGATCATTTGGGAGGGCGAGGCTCCGGCCGTGCCTGGTCAGAAGGTCCAGGTGAGAGGGGTCGGTATGAGTGAACAAAAGCACATTAACACAACGAGGGCTCTTCAGTGATGGTACAAAAAAGTCAACAGGCGGGGAGGTTTAATTTTAGAAAGAGTTTTATGGCACTTGCAACACATTAAGGTCATATAAGTGCCACAGATTAGAGGTGTTACAAGAGAGTAACAAACACAAAAAAGAAGGAGGAGAGATCAGGATGATAGACGTTTGATAGGAATGAAGGAGCAAACCACACCAGAGCACTCACAAACCACCCACCGGGAAGGATAAAGAAATAGGACCTGCAAGTGGCTCCCACCTACATAGACACCACACACACACACAACACACATAGACTCAAACCATTGACACTGTGCCTGTGATTGTATTGTTGTTATTGTTAAGTTGTCTGTAATAATAATAGTAGCTGCTCGTGGCAGGACAAAATCAGAGCTTGTTGTCCTGACTTCTGAGGGCATAACTTATGATAAACACAAGTTGGGGACAAAATCAGGCCAGGGAAAGATGAGGTGACTCTGAGACACACTCCATAACACTGAGTGTGAGGACTGAGGAGCACTTCCACACATTTACAGGTCAATCAGTGCTGGGACAAATAACACAGACAAACAGACACAACACAGAGGAAAGTAAAGTTGTAAAAACCTACCAGTGGTGCCTTCCAACCATCCACCACAACACTGAATTATCACTAAAACCAGTCTGTGCTTGAATTTGCAGGGTTAAACAATTTTCAATAATTAACAGTAAAAAAAAAAAAGAAAAAAAAAGAAGGTTATAATCTCCGACCATCACATCAAAAACATACTCTGGCTCAGTATTTCTAATACAGCCGTAACACTGCATAAACACTTTTTACAAGACCCATGCAGATTCTCAAAAGGGCTAAAACTTTCAATCACATACACCGGCAGACATCTACATATGGTAAAAGTTCCAATCTTGCTCAAGTCTAAACTAAAAACCAAAGATTTTTTTTTTTACATAGCATACCTAGAGAAGGGACCTGACTCACAGTGGTGCATACAATGGTAAACAACAAACACAAAGAGTTAAATGACCAAACAAGTCCGGAACTGAGACCCAAACAGAAAACTGAGCATCTTGAAGAAAAACTTTCCAATGGCTAGACAATACACTTGTATGAAGAAAATTCAGGCCAAAGCAAACTTTTGCTCAGGTGGAAAATGCAAGCCAAGCTCAGAGTCATTAAGAAAGTAGCCATTTTTTCAAGTGCCAGATCTGAAACTGATATCAGCGGTCAGGGTTCGTCACTCATTCCAAAGTTCAGATTCTCTAAAAAGAAAAACAAAACAACCCCATATCCATCTGGTCTCTTCCCCAGTGTCTATCTTGGGATGGGTGGGGCTCTTTTGCTTTTTAATGTCCGAGTGAGAACTAAATGCTCAAGACCACTATGTCCATTTAAGTGACTTAGGAACTGACGCGATGATAAGAAGCCGCAATTTGAATATCTCCCCAGCTTCAGTGAGACTTGGACCAACAAGCCACCTTATTATAGCACACAAGACAGACACAGTAAAATATAACCCATAAACAACCATGGATGGGTTCTTGTCTGTCTACTTTTGTATACTACACATGTAGGACCTGTCTAAAACAGCACCTGGACATGGATGGCTGGTGCCTCTATAAATAAATCATTGATGGTCTGGTATGTAGGACCTGTGAAACCCACAAACCCACACATAATAGTTGGTTTTCTTGGGGGGGAGTGTCCCTTAATTGTTTGTATGTTACAATGTAAAGACAATCTTAAACCCCACAAACAATAATGGTTTGGTTTTATTTTAACACCCTTTCCATATTACACATGAAAGACAGAAAGACAGGAAAGTAAAACAACAGAAATAAAAACAGTAACTTGAGTTGTTTAGTTTTAAAATTTCACGAGGTGAGCACAACGCACAGGATTTGGGGGGGGGGGGTTAGGGTTAAGTGTCTTGTATTTATGCTAGAGGCAAGCATGAGGAGGTTATACAGGCCTTCATTGCAAAGAAGAACAGACAGAGGTAAAGGTTATACTGCGGAAGCTGTTCAAAAGCGTCAAGCTATAGTGTGTTCTGCGAGTGGGTCAGGCAGAGGACAAGAAACCTTCAAGCAAACACAGCACTACTTGACAACCATGAACTTAGCCAAACCAAAGGAATAGGAATACGTACCTTGAAAACATACCAGAACCGAACCCCTCCCCCCCCCTCCCCACATAACCCTTTTCTTTTGTAACTTTACAAGCCCCCTAACCTCTAGTTAGCTTTTACAATACCTTGCCACAAAGGTAAAAAACTGAGAATACATGGCATTTCACCATCCAAACATGAAAGTGAGCACATGCCCTTTTGTCCACAAAGTTAAGAGCCTAACCACTAACTACCAGCCTAGTACAGAGATGGGGGACGGAGGGAAAGAGAGGGAGAGGGAGAGGGAGAGAGAGAGAGAGAGAGAGACAGAGACAGAGAGAGAGAGAGAGAGAGAGAGAGAAAATCAGAAAGAGAAAGAGACAGAGAGTGGGGAGGGTGGAGGGGGGGACAACTTTTGTCCATTTTAAATTTGCCACACAACAGGTCTGATCCTGCACTTCCAAAAAAAAAAAAATTTAAAAAAAATTAAAATTGCATTTCAGGCTTTAAGATTTCTTGGGGCGCAATGTATTGTCTCCGAGGTATAAAGAACAACAACCTGTATTGCTCTTAGTTATAGTCATATTTACATGGTAAAGCATTTGGAACATTGATGTAATCAATGCACAGAGGGAAAAATAATAGATTCAGCCTTCTGTTTCAAAGTACAAAGAAAGTAATATGTACATCCGTGAGCCCTATAACACTTTTTCAAGTTAAAAACAGATGGGAAAGGTGGCCAAAAAAGGAAAAGTGAAGAGGGGGAGGGGGGATTGAAGTGTGGAGGTAAAAAAAGCATACAAGGGAGAGGAGAGGAGTTGGGTTGGAGGAGGTAAGAGGAAGGGGTGGATCGAGGAAAAGAGGGGGAAAGGTGGATCGAGGCGGTGGATGCTGAGAATGAGGACCAAGCATGGGAAGAGGAGGATGTGGTTCTGAAACGAATGGAAGGAAGGATGAGAGCATGAGGACAAAAAGACATGCCGATAACACACTCCTCTCCAGTCTCCAAGCAAGGTCATCCGCACCACAGAACAGACAAGATGTCAACCAAACCAACAGAAAACCCTCTCCCAATTATTTTCACAATCCCATTTTAATTTATTTATAGCATCTGTGCCTCCCCATCCCTTCCCCATAAGAAGACCCCCGCCCCAATACGTTGTTACATGTTATACATATATTTTTAGAGGCGTATATTGGTGCACAGTGACACTGCCATAGCCACACTACGCCAATAATTCTAAAACCAGGCAGATTAAAAAGTTAAAAACACATTAAAAAACAACAAGAAACAAACAAAAAAGCAAAAACAAAGGCAAAACTACATGAGACTAAAAATCAAATTTTAGCAGAGAAAAAAGCATAAGTAAAAATAGAAAATTCCTAAATTAGTCACTCCTAGAAAGATAGAACTAGAGGAGCCAGTTTTGTTGAAGGTCTACCATAATGTTTCTGGTTTAGGTTTAGCTAAATGTTTACAGCCAGGGCGGTCTGTCAACTGGTTTAGTTAAAAGTCCGGTTCATACAGGCTTGGGACTTTTGACAGGGATCAGTTTACATTCTTCATTGTTGTTTATAAACAGGCGTGGGACTGTCATTGGCCATATTAAACATGTTTTGGTGATTGTAATTTGTTGGTCCCCCCCCGAAACTTCTTCAAAATTGTCCTATCTGGTCATCTGTAGTTGTGGATCCCTTGTCAATCCCATTCTTTGCCACAGCAAAATGAAAAATGAAGCACGAGCAGAAGACTGTGGACTTTTGGTAGACCGCTGCAGTGTGGAAGAGAAGACCTTCAACTTAACTGGCACTGAACTAGATCTTGCATTTTCTAAATTAGACACTCCAAGAGAGACAGACCCAGATCTAGTCTTTCCTAAATTAGTCACTCCTTAAGAGAATTAA